CTGTTTCGAGAACTGCTAAAGTTGCCTATTCCAAACGCTACCGGTGGGTGTGACCCAAAAGCCATAATACAAACAACTTTTGCCTGAGGGTCCTGTCGAAATTACTAACCAAATTCGAGGGAAAAAATGAAAGCGAGAGTATTGGTAGCAGGGTCATAAAATGTTGTACGCTGAAATTCGTTAAATAAAGCACATACGTTGCACTCGAAGACGACGTAACCCGTACGTCGTTCTATTTGTTTTTTTGGGTGAAGACGGTAGTCGCAGCCCATGTCCAGCATGTATACAGCCCCGAGCTACGTAGGCTGTTAGGGATAGTGATGTTTTAACGTGGCAGAACTAACACCATAACAAAGAAGAGGAGACAAGAGGGGGGAGAGAACACAAGTCCAGAGAGCAGCAAAGAGAAATAGCACACAATAGTCTATCATTATAGCATATGAAAAATGCAAGGAGAACACCATCCCGTGCCAGTGCTTCAGACCAGGTGCTACAAGATGCCTTCACCAGGAATAGTCAGCAGAGCCGAGAATAGCAGAGAATACCAGAGAATACCACAGAAGGGCAGAGAAGGGCAGAGAAGGGCACAAAATACCAGAGAAGGGAGATGGCTGGAAGAGCAGGGAACACCACAACTGCACTGCCAAATGAGYGAATAGCACCGTTGAYTGCACCCCAAGAGCCTATAGCTCAGTGGGTACACCCAYGAACTGTTGAAATACAGACCCAAGTTCAAACCCAAATRACCACACTTGATGAGTAAAACCATTTTTTAATTTWATTTWATTTTATTTTATTTTTATTTTTTAATTGCGTTCAGTTCATATTGCAAAAATTCGATAAAGAGGCCGGGGATCCTCACAATTCGACACGGGGTTATCCCGGCAGCATCAGCCTGTTTAGCTTATAGTCACATAGCTCCACATTTCACTTCCCTAGTTAACTCTGTCAACTTTTCTGGACCCTATATGTCTCATCTCTACCCTTATCCCATCCGTCCTACTTACCCTACCCCGGGACCTATCATTGGTCCGGACCCGGCCTACATCGGCCGGGAGGAACTCTTGTTCCCTTTTTCTGGCGCTGGCACTCTCCCACCCCCCTACCCTGCGCAATCTACTGTGATCGCCGACTGGAACCGAGTGCACCTGGTTCTTGAAGCAAATAAAACCTCCACCAGGCTAAAAAGCCACACAAACCGAAAAATGCTGATCTAATCCTACCTATTCCCTGTAACAAAAGGACAACCACCAGGCTTAAAGGCCGCACAATCCAAAGTACTAAGCTCACACTGTCCTACTTCACAGGAGAAATTCCCTACCCTCTCCCTCTGGTCTGTTGACCTTCAGGGACCTCATCTCAACGAATTGGTGGTCTCCAGTCTACCCTGTGGAGAGATGTTGGCCAACTCTCCTCCCCGAGCCCATGTTTCTTCAAACCACCTCAAGCCAGCTCTTGTATTACCTCTTTGGACTTTACGGATCCAGTCTGCCCTGATCTGAGTCCCAATGAGGCGTCTGAAAATTTTCTCAGCCTGCGGTTCTTGCAGTGGTTYGCCCTGAAACCTTCTGCCATTCCTGTCCAACCAGATTACCCAGAGCACTGCCAGTCTGGCCACCTGAGCAATGTATTCCCATCCTTTGTAACCTGAGACATCTGGCGGCAAGACCCCTTGGAGGACCCACCTCTTTCCTGTCAGATTCCTCTTGCCTGAGAAGGCTATCCAGTTCTTCTCCCACCATTTCCACCACTTGTTTGAGACCGGGCAGTCCCACCATAGGTGTTGCATGGATTCTACCGGCTCCGGACATCTATCGCATTTAGTGATCACGTCCATTCGGCGGTCCTGTAGCCATTTGGCTGTAGGAACAGTCAGGTGGGACTGTAGCCAGGCCAGCGAGGCAAGCTTCTGAGATGGCATCTCTTTCAGCTGTACCCAGAGCGATGTCAGTTCCTTCTTGGATGGTGGTTCCACTTCTGGGCATTGCCTCKGCCATCTTCCCGAGGTGAGTTCGCTTGCATGTGGAAGCTTTGTCTGTTGGTCGAGTACCAGCTGAGATGAGAGTTTGTCCAGTCCCCAAATTGGGCCGTTGCCCCCTTGCCATCCCCACGCCTGTGGATCTATCTTCATCTGCCGGAGGGGGATTGCATTTGCCACCRCCTCCAGTACCTCCGGCTCTCCTGGGCGCCTCGGGGGGAAACTGCAAACACGGATTTCATCCGGGCCATTCAGTCCGTATCTCCAACTGATTCCGGAGATTGCTATCTCTGGGAGGTTCGGCAGTATCGGCTCGAAGGTCTCCAACCAGCACTTCCCTGTTCCATCTTCACACCATTCTTGCAGTCTGAGGAACTGGGTCTTCTCCCCTTGGCTGTCAATGTACCACGATCCCACAGGATTGACTTGTTGTGGGCCGATCAGAATTTTCCAAGCCTGGGGGATCCATTCAACCAATTCTYCAAGTCTTGCTTCTTG